AGAGTCAGCATGGTGTTGTGGTTTTAGCACTGGATTACAGAACAGAATTCAGTTCCCCATTTGGTCAAGGAAACACTCTGAATGACCTTGGGCAAATCACACACTCCCTTCAAAACCCCAGGTTAGAGTCACCATTCATTAGAAATGATTTGAAGACCCAGCAGCAACAAGGAACCAAAGTGCCTCATAAAAGAAATCAAGCATAACCCAACAGTACAATTTTAACATCAGTTCAGATCACCTCTTTTAAAACAGTACAAATTGATTTTAAAGTATTTAAAAGCTGGTGAAATGAGAAAAAGGGGGGGGGGGCAGACTTATGTATTTATTTATTTAAAATATTTCTACCCCGCCTTACTCCGCGGCCAGACCCAAAGTGATTTACAGTATATAAAACACACAATATCAACAATATAACATAAAATGCAAAAGTTAAAACAAACTAAAAATACATATACGATAAAACCAACTTCCCTCATATCAGCCCCTTAATAAATAGTCGTAACCCTTAAATCTCAACCCATTCTTATGGCACAAGTCTTAGTTAAAGGCTTTATTGAAAAGAAATATCTCTTTCCTGAAGTTTAGGAGGGATAAGGCTGATCTTAGTTACTCTGTGCTGAAGTTGCCTCTGAGAAGTAGCCTTCTATCGTTTTGCGTAAATGCATTTTTGAATGGGACCGAGTGGCAATTAGAGTCTCCTCACTGGACCTCAACTCTCGACCAGGAGCGTTCCAGGTAGGTTAGAACCAGCACCTTGAATTGGGCCTGGAAACGGACAGCCAGCCAGTGGAGCTGTCTCAGGAGTGGTGTAGTGTGCTCCTTCATACCAGCTCCTGATACCGGCCTGGCTGCAGATCTTTTATAGGACTGCTGGACAGACCACAGGCTAATCCAATCCACGATGACTATCAAGATCGCCCCCAAGCGCAGACTCCAAGGAAGAAAGACAAGGCACAAAATGAACACCCAAGCCCTTCAGGAGCCCTCCAGACGAGCCCTTCTCCAAACAGCACTCAAGGACCATCTACCCACAGAACACCCCAAAAATGTTGAGGAACATTGGAACAAACAGAAGACCTCCATCATCACAACCTGAGAAGAAACTATTGGATATCAAACCAAGAAACATCAAGATTGGTTTGACAAAAATGACAATGAGATCCAACAGCTAATTGACAAGAAAAGGAAAGCCTTCCAAACATGGCAGAGAGACATCAACTGTGCTGCTAAGAAAAATATCTACACCAGTGCAAAAGCTGAGGTCCAAAGAAGGACAAGAGAACTCAAGAACAACTGGTGGACAAAGAAGGCTGAAGAAATCCAACACCTGGCAGATACCCATGATGCTCAGGGATTTTTCAAAGCCACAAAGGTCATCTGTGGACCAAGAAACCATGGCATACAGCCTCTATGCTCATCAGATGGAATTATCTATTGCCTTAAGCAAAATCATAGTATTTTTAACATACTCAATTGTTTCTGTGATAACCTTGGAGTCATCTTGTGTAACATATACAAGTAGATTTCTTTGTATTTGTATGACATATAATTTGAATGAAAATTAAGCTGAAAAAATAAGTGTTTCCCTTGGGCAATCTCCATACAATCCCTTCCCCTAAGCTCTTATACAATTTTACAAAACAGATTATGCCCCTCAAATCAAATATGCTTGTGGGCATATTTATAAAATAGGTTTCTAGGACACTGAATGTGTGTGGCATCATCTTGCTAGAAAGCAAGTAGCCCAAATGCTGCGTAGCCTGCGCCCTCTGTTATGGGAGGAGGAATTCAACACATTTAGATTACAACAGGTTGGGAAGGGAAGGCTGTATCAAAGCCTTCTAAATTTAGTAGAGATTAACATTGTCTCTGATCTAAATCTAACCAGCTTTTGAAAAGGTCAGAGATTAATGCTTTTGAGGTTATTTGTTGTAGGGGGAAATTATTATCAGTCAATTTTTTAAAACATCCCAAAGGTAGTGAGAAAATTGAAACATTTTAATTGATTCTTTATATGTTCGTATAGTTCACATTTTTTTCATGGAATGCAAGCTAGTAAGAACTCTTTTCATCTTGCATATTTCTTGCATTGTGCCTTCAAATCAATTCCAGTTTATGGTGTAAGATGAACTTATAGTTTCTTGAGAAGAGATGTGCAGAGCAGGTGATGCATTTGCCTTCCTCTGAGGCTGAGGAAGTGTGCCTTGCCCAAAGCCACACAGTGATTTCTAGTGATTTCCATGACTGAGCAGGGATTCAAACTTTAGGACTTATTCACATGACCCACTGGGCTGTTGCGCCAGCAGTCGTCGATGAGAGAGAAGGTGTGTGGGGTGCCTGGTGGTGCCCCATGCACCCTCCCTCCTTCCCCATCACATGGTGTGGATGGGACAGGGCACATTGGCATGTTAGCACCTTGTCCCTGTCACCATCAAATGGGAGAAAGGGCAGGAACACGTGGCACCGCATGTTGCCCCGCCGCCCTTTCCCCCATCATATGGGGAAAAGGCAATGAAAGTGTGGGTACCTCCATTGGAGCTACCCGAAAAACACTTTCCCACCCATGGTGAAGGATGAAGCGTCTTCTGATGCTTCCCCTCCATTTTGGGAGGAATGTGGGCTGAGCCTATCGAGTGTCATCTGATAATGCTTGGCAAGCCGCATCCAAGTCCCATGCAAAAGCGCCAAAGTGGGGCTATTTAGAAGTTCCTGTGAAGAAGTCCCTAGTCTCCAGAGTCGTAGCCAAACAGTCAAACTACTATATCACACTATTCCTCTTTTTGTCTGTTTTTCCATGGAATACAAATTACAAAGAACTGTTTTCATAATTCATACTACTTTATTACTTGTGCTTTTGCTTCCCAAAAGTAAAACCCAATGTGACTGGAGGGAGTTAGGAAACAAATGTGGGTCAAGCAATTGTTTGTTACGGCACAGAATGTTGCAAAAGATCATTTAGATCAAATATTACAATGGAAAACTGAGAAAAGGAAAAGAATTATGGGATTCACATACAACAAACTAATAGATAACCAATATCATTTGAAACCCACCCTGTTAGAAGTATAGAAAGAGGAAATAGACTGTAACCAGAAGGACTTAGAACTGTGCATAAATTCAATAAAAAAACTTAAATATTTAAAGATCAAAGAAATGCAATGGAAAATACTGATGAAATGGTATAGGGCCTCCAGCAAATAGTCCATATTACAAAAAGAACATCTAAAAGCTGTTGGCATGAATGTGGGGAAACTGGAACATTTATCCATATGTGGTGGAACTGTGCCAAGGTACAAGAATTCTATAGAAAAATAAAGGGGGAAATGGAGGAATTATTAGAGCAAAAAAAAATAGGGTTGAATAACAAACAGTTCTTTTCCCCCTAAAAGTGGAAGAGAAAAGTGGCAATAAAGATTGGGCCGAGATGACTAAATATATGCTAGCTGCGGCCCAAACTACAGTTGCCCTTGGATGGAAAGAACATAAAAAAGGGACATACAAAAATGCTACCAATATTTAGCGGACTATATGCTTCAAGATTACATCATGAATAGGAAAAATAAATATACCAATGGATAGCCCAGGGGGAAATGGGAAGGGACATGGGGAAAACTGATAGCCAAGGATCAGAGCAACATATAAGAAATTAAAGCAGATTATCCTTACAATTAAACAAACAGAACGAACAATAAAGGAAATGTATGACTGTTCCCAGAGGGGGGAGAGTGAACAGGAGGGGCAAATAGTGGGAAAGGGATGGATACAAGTAGGGGACAAAGGCGATAACATATGATTTTTTTATTTCTGTTTTGTTAAATTGTATGTGTGTGATACATACATATATACACACATGCCGCATTATCACAGGCTATCTACGCCTAACACCGCTAGATAAATTATACTGTTTCACCGGTATTGCACAATCTGATATCCACCAGGAAGTAGGAGCCAGCAATAAAAGGCCCAAGGCATTGACATCTTCACCCCATCCTCTGTTCAGATATCAGCCAGCATGCCAATGATTTAAATAAAAAAACAGCTTCCTAATACTCACAAGAACACCCCAGCAAGCGAGAATCAAAAAGTGGCAGGTTAAAACCCCTCCTTGGCATACCGAAGACTGAAACTCCCTCCTGGGCTCACTGAAGACTGGGTGATTTGGAAGGCACTGAACAGGCTGTGCTCTGGCACCACAAGATGCAGAGCCAATCTTAAGACATGGGGCTATAAAGTGGAGTCTGCAACATGCAAGTATGGAGAAGAGCAAACCACGGACCATCTACTACAATGCAGTATGAGCCCTGCCACATGCACAATGGAGGACATTCTTACAGCAACACCAGAGACATTTGAAGTAGCCAGCTTCTGGTCAAAGGAAATTTAGCATAATGCCAAGTTTTTAACCTTGTTTGTGGGGTTTTTTTTCCAAACATTATAACTATTCTCAATTTGCTTCTGACATGGTTTAAAAAATGATATTAATCCTCCCCTTCCATTACTGAAATGTCATCATGTCCCAGAATAGATTTTTATTCATAGGGAAATAGGGGTAATTTCTCAATGAACAACAAATCAAATGGTTCAGTTCATGACAGACCAGATGAGACATCATCATCGTGCAGCCAAGTTTCCTTCCTGAATAGCAGTTTGGTTGATGTGATGGGAGATAGGCTGCAAGGAGGTAAGTGGGTAGGAGGCGTTTTGCACTCCCCCCCCCCCCCGGATCCTTACCCAGTATCTTCACTTGTATGTTAGTGAGGAAGATCTGAGTTAATGTCATATTCACTTTGGCTCATAGCTGTCATGTCAAGAGATGTCAACTGATCTTCAGAGCAGTAAGCTACTCATTAAAGAGAGAGGTTGCGAGCAACAGGAATTTCTGGCATGTTCTTCGAGTGATGAGAGAGAGAATTTGCTGGAGCCTATTTAATTACATGGTTCCATAGAAATGAAACGGAATTGTACCTAAGTATGAGAAGAACTTAAGAAATGCTTACCGATTGGTGTGAGAATTACAGTGCATGAACCAGCTGCGATTGTTATCAACATACATTGCCCATGCCTTGTCGTCTTTGCCCAGCATCATGTCCTTGACAACGTTGATCCTCGCAATTCCAAAGGCTGGGTCTGGGTGGTTATCATAACGGTCTACATGCAGTTCCCAGTAGTGGACTCCCTTTGAGAAAGCAGCTGTGCCCAGGACAACACGGTCATCATAGCTACTGCAAGTTGCTGTCTGGTTGTCATTAGAAAGGACTATGTCCCTGTGGGCCGAACAGGGATCAAATGTAAACCAAGCCACTAAACAGAAAGAAAGAAAGAAAGAGTTTGCACATTGGATGGATGCAGCAACAAAGACTAGTTTAATACGTTTTCTCCAAGAAACCTATTAGTGAATGAAGAAAATCAATTACAATTTAGCTGCCATGCGTTTCATAATGGGAGAAAGGTAAGATATAAATACTGTACAATCAATACACAAATTTCATTCAGGTCCCATTGTTGTCATTACCCAAAGATTAAATGTATTCTGTTAACATTTTATAGAACCTAAGATGCCATGCTGTCTATGTAGTCCAGAGAAATAGCATAACTTGGTCACATTAAACATATTTTTCAAGTGTTAAGAACAGTGGTTCCCAACCTTTTTTTGACCAGGGATCACTTAAGCAGGGAAGACTTTATTTATTTATTATTTAAAACATTTATATTCCGCCCTTCTCACCCTGCAGGGGACTCAGGGCGGAGCACAACATATATATGCAAATATTCAATGCCGGGACATAAAGCCATAAATATATACAAACATTAAAATAACTTATATCCACATTAAAAGTTGCTTTAAAACCTTCTCAGGACACCATTTTGCCTCATTGCACTTTCTCAAAGGCTTGGTCCCACAGCCGGGTCTTCACCATCCTCCTGAAGGACAGGAGGGAGGGGCTGATCTAATATTGCCAGGAAGGGAGTTCCGTAACCAGGAGGCAATCACTGAGAAGGCCCTGTTTCTCATCCCCGCCAAATGTGCCTGTGATGGTGGTGGGATGGAGAGCAGGGCCTCTCCAGAAGATCTTAGTTTCCGCAGTGGTTCATAAAGGGAGATGCGTTCAGACAGGTAAATTGGGCTGGGACCATTTAGGGCTTTATAGGCCAAAGCCAGCACCTTGAATTGTGTCCGGTAGCAAACAGGCAGCCAGGCACCACTCTCCAACATTATTTATTTTTGTATTGTCGAAGGCTTTCATTATTTATTTATTTACAGTATTTATATTCTGCGCTTCTCACCCTGCAACTGTCTTTCGGGCTGCAAAGGTCGACAGCAAGCTAGACAAATGGTTGGGAGCTTACTCCAACCTGGACCGGCTTCAAACTCACGACTTTTTGGTGGTGATTTAATGGAGCTGACTCCTAGCCAACTGCACCACAGCCTGGTCCAAAAGGGTTACAAATCAGTTTTTGGTCAACTTTAGAGTCAGTTTGGTTATTTGAGGTGCTGTTTCAGAAAATTGCATTGGCTAGACCACATTAGGTCTAGTTTCTGATACAGAATGTATACCATCCAGTAGTCATCATCAGCTTACCCACAGAAAACCATATTTAATAATCTAGAGCTGATGTGATCTTTTGTGGGTAGTCAGCCTCTCCTCTCCTGACATCCCCGTTGCCTTGGCACTATAAGAGGGTTTCGCAAGACCAGTCACTCTCGTTGTGGCATGGTTTCGAGGCAACGGTGTAGTACTGGTGAGGCCATGGACCATATTTTCGTTCTTGCAGACCACTGGTGGTCCATAGACCACAGGTTGTAAGTCTACTGTTATGACTATGCTTTATTATGTATAAGTATTATTTTTGATGTGTTAGTACTCACCTGAGACATTGAATGTTTGCCTTTTTGTGTGTAAACTGCCCTGAGTCCCTTCAGGGAGAGAGGGCAGCCCACCAATAAAGATGAGGAGGAGGAGGAGGAGGAGGAGGAGGAGGAGGAGGAAGAGGTTGGGAACCACTGGTTGTGCTGGTACGGCTGTACCAGGAGCTCCAACTTTATTTTCTTTCTGTTATCTGTTTGCAGTCATAAGGGCAGGCCTCCTGTCCATCATAATTAAGCTTTGGTTCCACCCCTTGTTCAGGGAGGGAAAGGAGTCATTTTTTGGGCAGTCTCACATAAGGAAGCTAAACTATAGGACGTAGACCAGCTCGTCCTGTAGAAAAGCTTATTCTCTCAAGAACATCCAGGGAAACAGAAACAGAAATTCCAGGGAAAAGGTCCCAAGGCTCTGGCTGAGAGCTCACAGCCTCTCAGCTTCACAACATCAGAGGGAACAGCCCTGAAGTTTCTAAGAATTCTCGAAGGGAGAACAGCGTTACAGATCCACGGAACTCCAGCTGAAATAACTTCAAGCCCCGGCTGGTAGGTCTACTCGATACCCAGACGCACTTGGAATCGGTAGTAGGTCCCACACCAATGAGGCATAGATAGAAAGCAGCCTGGGAGAGGTTAAAAAGGGTTTTCCTACAGAGAAAGTTTAGTTAACCAAAGTCAGATGCCAGTCCATTGAGGACTAGTCTAAGAAAGCCTTGAAGTGTTGTTTGAACCATTGAAGATTTGTTGTTTGTTCCATAATAAAGACTTTGTTGCATTATTAAAGACTCTAAAGACCATTACTTCAAAAAAAAATCCCTGAGAACCTCTCTTTGAGGCGCCCCTGGCTTCCCGCTGGGCTTAAAGTATACGTCCTATAGAAAAGTACAGCTGTTACAGGTCCAGCACGCAACAGAACACTGGTTAAGAAGAAAATTATCATGTACCTTCTACCAATGTGTGCCAAAGTGGATGTTAGTATGTATGGTAAAATGAGCATTAATATTTTCTGTCTATTATTTTCTAGCCTGGAACTGAGTCCACCAAAAATAGAGAATGTCTCCCACCTGGAGGTGGCTCACAAAAACCGGAGATTATGGGCCAAGCTCTGAGATCTGGCAACCATCATTAGAATACATATTTCTATCCTGAGCAATTAGATTTGTAACATGATGCTCAACATCCAAGTTGCATTACATAAGTAATGAACATTATGCTTTGGGGCAGATTTCCATCTCAGAGTCTCATGTTGTTCATACTGGGAATTAGTTATAAATTATCCCTTAACTCACGCTTGGATGTTTTGGAGAAATATTGTAGTTTATTAGTGGCTATGGTTATTATAGACTTTATTGTCTACAGGCTTTTAAAGTAAGAATCTTTAGGGAAAATGTTTTTTTTTTCCTGGCATAGTTTAGCAACATTAATAAGAAAGAGAGAATCAAATTAACATCTGTTTTATGATTCATAGAAAGTTAAGTACCATTAATCAAGATTAATTTCTTTGGCTGACTTTATGGGTAGCAAGTGTAATTACATGGGAACTGAGGTATGAATTAGAATTCATATTTTATAAGACACAGCTAAGATATTACTTCCACAAAAGAAGAAAAAATGTAATGATGCTCTGCAATTCATCACTGGCATAAACTGGGGAAGGAGGAGGAGGACACTGGAAAACCAATGGATATCTCTGTCAGTGACCTACTTAACGTTTCTGATTTCAGATCTCTTTAAAAGCACATGAAATGAGTTTTGGGGTTATTCCATTTTCTCTAAACATGCATCCCTTAACTTGACTTCAGAAACAGAAAAATATACATGCCAGCTTGTGCTAAAAAATAATCCTATCAAAAAGAAGTCACAGATGGGGAAAATGATTTTATCTAGATATGTACCTCATCTTCTGGGGAAGCTGCCTAAGATTTTTAAGCATCAGCCCTATATGGAGCTATGCGCAATTTCCAAAAGCACAACCTTAATCAATGGGTTAAACCCTTGTGCCAGCAGGACTGAAGACTGATAGGTCAGAAGTTCAAATCTGGGAAGAGTGAGGATAAGCTCCTTCTGTCAGTTCCAGCTCCCCATGCGGGGACATGAGGGACACCTCCCACAAGGATGGTAAAACATCAAAACATCCAGACGTCTCCTGGGCAATGTCCTTGCAGACGGAAAATTCTCTCACACCAGAAGCGGCTTGCAGTTTCTCAAGTCGCTCCTGACACACACACACACACACACACACACACACACACACACACAATCATTTTTCTGAGATCTGGATACAGCCATTTTTACAAATCTGTTTAATGTCTTACAAAATATTAAGAAATGGAAGCACAGATTGATAATATAGTAAAGTAATTAATTTTACTCATGGAAATGTGTATTTTTTTAAAAAGAAGATACCAACACATTCTATACTTTTCTGCAAGTTATAGCTTTTCTGCTGATGCAAAACAATGTCTTTTCTATGTTAAATACATTATTTACTTTCAGCAGTGAAACTCCTGAATAGCATTAAAATACTAAAATTATTCTAAATTGAAATTAAAATTATTCTAAATTCCTGCTTATGTTGCATGAACAGTAACAAAGTTCCAGAGTTGAGTGTTTCTTGGATTGCAAGAAATCAGCAAGCAAACTCTGCTAAGTCATCTTCCATCCTGCCTTAAGCTAAGGAAGGATCCATCAGGGCAAAGTATTTGGAGAGGTGGCCCAACTCGTGTTTATGAATTTCTGTGGCTAGCACCATTTTCCAAAGAGCTGCTGATATTTATATTGCTAGATTTTGTGGTTTGGTAATGAGTTTATGTCTACTGGAAGAAAATTAATACCCAGGGAAGTAGTGATTAGAGAAAGAAACTTATGCTTCTTCCTGGTAATCCATTCATATACAGATTGGAAAGAAACATCTTAATTTAGGACTGGTCCAGACTACTGAAAAACAAACAAGGTCTCTTGCTATAAGTAAAGGTAAAAGTTTCCCCTTGACATTAAGTCCAGTCGTGTCCAACTCTGGGGGTTGGTGCTCATCTAAGCCAAAGAGTCCATAGACACCTCCAAGGTCACTTGGCTGCATGGAACACTGTTACCTTCCCACAGAAGCAGTATCTATTTATCTACTCAAATTTGCATGTTTTCAAACTGCTAGATTCACAGAAGCTAAGGCAAACAACAACAAATTCTGTTATTAACAATTCTATTCCTGAAATAATTATTGCCTTCCTTTCTAACTCTAATTTGTTCATTTGTACATTCCCTTTTACTTCCTGTATCCCCAAAAGAGATTCTTTGGGTGGGAATTGCATCACTGCAAGAACATCTACAACAACTACACTACTGGTTTCATTGCACACATTTTCTGTGCCTCTTGTACAATATTATCATACCCATACACCAGCCCAGAAGTTTCCATAGAGACACATCAAGATCTACCAGTTCACATTGATTTTGTTTTGGACTATGAAAGAGTGGTTCCAAAATCTAGCAGAATCCAGAAGGATCAGCAGATTCCACCTCGAATTAAATTTTATTTATTTGCATCCAACAAAATATGTCCTCTATAGAAATTTTCTAGGTCTTTCAGGCAATTTTATGGTGTGCGTCCTCTGGAAATTGCCATAGAGTCAACTGGAGGACTAAGAAATTTCCTACAGTGGCTACCTCCCTAGAATTTTTCTAGGTCCTCCAGGGTGACTTTATAGCATCTTCATAATGGTTGGCCATTTCAATAGAGTTCACTATTATACACAGTTTCAGTGTTCCATGGTAAGTTCAGGCATGCATCAGCTGCAAATACGGGAATCGTAATACATATTTTTAAAATTACTCACCATCAGAAGTCTGTAAAACAACTGTCTTGCTGTAAGGGCCCACTCCTGATGAATTAAAGGCTTTGACTCTTGCATTGTAAGTACTATTGAAATGAAGGCCATCAATAGTGCATAGGGTCTCCTTTCCAACATACACTTCCTAAATAACAACAAAAGGAAGGAGAAAGTTGTGTCTATTTGAACTAGTCATAACCACAAATTTGAATGTAAACTGCATGTGATTGCTTTTTGCTGAGAAATTATGACAGCAGTAAACTCAAATTGTTTCCTGAAATCAGTTGCTTCTAGGGACTGTAGACAGCACCAGTGGACTACAATCTCATAAGATTTTATCCCACTGAACATGTCAAGTGTTTGGAAGAGTAGATTACCTACCATACAGCTCAGGCATACTCCATTTTGAAATTAAATGGATGATTTTCCTACCACCATCACACACTAGCAAAGTATCTCGGTTGAGTTCTCAGTTGATTTGCCATCACATTGAGAGAATTGTTCCTGTCCACTGTCCCTCCCCTATTTTCTTTGTGAAAAGACACACCTCCTCTCCTGGAATATGATTTTTGTTCCTGGGTTATAAATGTCATTTCCTAATTGGTTCTATCATAAACACATGGGAAAAGTTTAATAAACTGCAAAAACTTTGACTTCGCAGGAGGGACATCCTGCTATAGCACATTTTGCTCTAGTTTCTCAATGATTGAATATATTGTAGAGTCTCCATCAATTTAACACAGTTTGTGGGCAAAAAAAAAACAAAGTTTCTGGAGCACAACAACTACTTTCAAAGTAAGGACTACACAATTAAACAGGAAATAACACTTGCAAACTAGGAACATATTTTCATTATTATTATTATTGACACAAAAGCACAGTATGTCACAGCAAATGAGATCTATATACTGGACTTTGTATCAAAAAATCACAAGTCGAACACTTCCCAAGCGTCTAGGACTGTGTGATGTATTTTCGAATGATGCGTGCAGATCCAAGTAAGGTGGCCTTTTGCAGTTGACAGATCGTGATTTTGTTTATTGTTTCCAAATGCCCTCTGAGATCTTTTGGCATGGCACCCAGTGCGCCAACGACCACTGGGACCCCCTGTACTGGTTTATGCCAGAGCCCTCGTAGTTTGATTTTGAGGTCTTGATTATTATTATTATTATTATTATTATTATTATTATTATTATTAGCCAGGATGGCCATCAGGATGGCCAAAGGGAAGGGAAAGAAGGGAGGAAAGAAGGAGAGGAAGAGGAGGCAACACATGGCTTGCACAACATAGAGAAGGAAGGAAGGAAAGTTCCCAGAAAGTACATGAGACAAAAAAGAACACAACATACTGCCAATCTTCCCTCCTCCATGAGCAAAAGGTAATGATGGAGCTTTTTCTCAAAGGGGCCTTTTTGGTTTCTCCCACAAATTGCATAACTGTATTATTTTAAAGCTGAGAACAACAAATACAATCATATGACAGAATTGGCCATTTTGCCCATCTCTATCCCGATAATTTGCACACAAAAAAAAAGTCACTTGCCAACCAATTTAGAACGCATCTGAAAAGATAATCCTTTGCAACCCTTTTTAAACATCAAGATATTACTACTCAACACTTGAAGCCTGTGTCACATGATGAACACAGTAGGTTGCAGTTTCTTCAGTGGGTGGCTCAGTAGTATTTAATGAATGTGATGAAGTGGATAGTTAAGGCAACTTCTTGTGTTCCTATCACTAGGGACTCTTTTGTAACAATTTGGTTCAATTCCCTTTTCAGTTCATTCATTTAGAACTAACTATACAAGCATTTGATCTAAGAACATCACATGCAAATGGAGGAGAAACAGAGGTCTCACTCGAAATTGTCCACCATCTCCATCGTCAAGCTCCAAGATATAGCCTTCAACTGGATTGTGGCTGAAAGGTGGCATCCTCCAGGCTAGGGTCACGCTGTTATTTCTGGTGCAGCACTTTTCCAGCTGCAGTAGTGGGACTGGTGGCACTGAAAGCGAAACTAAGCACAGATTAGTGCAACTCTGCCCTTACCTGTCAGGCACAAAGTATTTGTATGAGAACACAAAGTTCACCTGGCAACTTGGAGTGGCCCAAACAACAGCTATGTCTCTCTCAGCATTTAGTTCCCTGATTGTTTGTTTTTTTCCAAAATTAGAAACAACATATTGAGAGCCCATATCTGATAACATCATGAGCAAGTATTCTTCAACAAAATTGCCATCTGATCACTTCATGGCATTAGTCAATGAATCCTCCCTTAAACTAATTTCTCAAAGCAGATAATAATGTCATTGGACAGCAGTGTCAGTTTACTTAAGCAACAGCTATTTGTTCTGTAACCCAATGTTCATTGCAGTCATAAGCCACCCATAGGCAAGACAGTTGGTTAGCTTATTAACTGGTAAATGATATTTATTTCCCATCTTTTCCACAGTGAGTGCAAGATAGCAAACATAGCCTGTTTCTTCTCCACAGTATTGTCACAACAACTCTATGGTAGATGAGCCAGAGATTAACTAGCCCAAATTAATCCAGTAGGTTTCATGGCTCAGTACTCATTAGAACTGAGATCCAAGTCCGAGTCCAATTAGTGTCATATCCATGAATTCAACCATCTACAGCCTGAACATATATAACAAACCTTGATTTTATAAAAGTAACACCATTGTACTACAGCATTGTATATCATATGGATGTTCTGGAACCAAACCCCAGCTGATACCAAAGGCTCTTTGTTACATGCACTGGACTGCAGTTCATGCTTCTTAATTGAATGATACACTATTCTATCAATAACAACCATGATTTTACTCATTCAGCACACATATTATATAGTACTTGATCTTTGGGGGCCAAAACCACTAATTGGATTTCACTTTTACAATGCCTTAAGATGAAATACAGTTTCCTAGAATCCTAAAATTTACCACGCTCTTCTAGAGGTGTTTTGCAAAAATAAGGATAAGGGAAGGTTTCTGTGAATATACTTATCAATCAGAGGGCATCAGAGGAGCATCAGACTGGCAACATGCAAAATCAATTTCCAGTCTCCACTAAGCTTTGAGTAAGCTTCAACCAGGCTATCTCTCAGTCTAAGACAGGGCTATTAGGAGGATAACAGGGTATGAGGACGATCTTATATGTCATGCTTAGCTTCTTGGAATAAAAGGGATAAAAACATAATCAATCAATCAATAGCCCTGTGGAGTTGCATATTGAATTCAACTGTATTTTATGTATAAAACTACTATAATGGGCAATCCAGCACTATTCTGGAGAGATTGAGTGTGGCAGCAGAGTACTGTGAAACAGCTTTGTTTCTTTTCCCTGTATCTTCAGAAATCAATCCTATATGTATGAAGACATCACTTAGGAGAATGCCTAGCCTCAGAAAATAGTTAGGAAGGAGACTTCCACAGCAATTATCAATTCATTACATGCTATCCAAATGGAAGCTATCACAATGATTAAAATCGCTCCCAAGCTGAGGACAGGGTCTTTGACAAACATATACTCTGAAAGACTTCATCAAATGCAATTTAAATCTTAAATCCTTTCATCTGCATCTGTTTTTTTAGCCACTGACATTTTTTGATGATGCAGTTTACTGCTGTTCTTGCGCTAGCTTCACTAATATAACTCATTTAGGTCAAGACACACAATACCCTTTGAGGGAATGGATTTTTGCCTATGAATTCTGCTTATCTATATGCAAGCATTTTCTCTTGTTCCTCTAAGGATTTTTGCTGTCAAATTGGCTAGCCTAATTGCTTTAGATAGAACCTTTAGAGTTCAAAATTAAGCCTGATGAAATCGAATGAACTTTGACTGAACAGGACTCATTATGTATGCACGATTCTTGTGGAGATGAAAGCAAAGGCATTTACCTATGAACCATGCATTCATTCCTACAGAAATTTCATCTGAAACATTCTGTTTTTATCAAAGGAAATTCAGTTGCTGGTTGCCTTTCAGCTCATTTTAGTTTTATTTGCCCCTCTTTGTTTTTGTGTTGAATCTTTGGGCTCTTACAATATACAGGTTCAAAGGAGAGATTCAAAGAAGAAAGAGGAAATGCAAAGGAGAATTGGTAGATTAGACCAGCCCTTCCATGTAAATCTTTGTCAAAGTGGGAATTCCACTTGGACCGTCCAAGAAAAATGCTTCTCACAATATGTTAAAATTCCACCAAGAACACTGGAAAAAAGTTGGAACAAAACCCAAACAGGGAAGCCTAGTTTAGGCAGTACAATTTGCATTACAGTAGAGTCTTGCTTATCCAACTTTTGCTCATCCAACGTTCTGTATTATCCAATGCATTCTCCCTCCCACCTGGATCCATAGTTGCTTCAAAACATCGCGATGTGTTGGTGCTAAATTCGTAAATACAGTAAATACAGTAATTACTACATAACGTTACCATGTATTGAACTGCTTTTTCTGTCGGTTTATTGTAAAACATGATGTTTTGCTTATTTTTTAAAATCATAACATAATTTGACGTTCAATCCCTCCTTAATCCCTCCTTATTATCCAACATTTTCGCTTATCCAACATTCTCCCGGCCCGTTTATGTTGGATAAGCAAGACTCTACTGTACTTGATTATATGCCCTGGGACAGATGCCTGGAGCACCTACTGGTGCAAACATATATTTAAGGATCACTCCACAAATGATTGACCAGGGAGAGCCAACATGGTGTAATGGTTTGAGTGTTGCACTATGACTCTGTAGACATAGCTTCGAATCCCTGCTCAGCCATGAAACCCACTGGGTGATCTTGGATTTTGCATAACAAAGGAAAGTAAAGTCTTCTTATATTTGCACATCTATGTCTAAGTCCAAACTGTGCCTCAGAAATCAGTTATTGTTTCTAGTACTTACAATAAACTAGGTTTTTAAAAGGCACATACAACTTGAAAGGCCTGTCTCACAGTTTCATACAGATTGTTCTTGAAGCTCAGTTGGCATACATACAAAGTCCCATCTGTTTCCTCTTAATTTCACACTAGTGCTGAAATTAAATTCTGGGAAATTAAATGTTTCTGTATCCACAATCTGACTGTTTTAAAGATCACTCTGCTTCATGCTTTTTGGGATCAGGATTATTGAAGAGATCAAATGGCAAAAACCGTCAATGTTCAACAATTAATTATGAACTACTGTCAAACCTCCAACAACATTTGTCATTTAATAAATACTGTCAGCTTTAAAGCACCAGTCAAAATGTTACGGAATATTATAGGCTATTCCATGCCACTGTCACTGCAAATACTGTAACAGCAAATGACAACTGTTCAAATTGCACAAGTACTAATTATCATTTGATGTCAAGCATCAAAAGCACCTGAATACTTAGCTGTCAAATGCTATCACATATAAAATTCTGAAATCAAATACTTGAGTAAAATATTAGACATTGAAATCAGAGATTGTTACATATGATTCTAACATAAAATGTGAAAATATTTACAAATTTAGAACATGTAAATGCATGCAGAATAATGTGAAGAGATGGTTTATTTTGCTATAAGATTCACATATCATTTGGCCACACATTTCAATTTGTCATGATAGTCATCATCCTAAGCAGTTTTGAAAAGTGGTAGACAAATTCATTCAGGATAAATACATATAGACCTCAGAAATTGATGGGATATGGCTCTGATTTTGAGCAATTGCTGAATTGTGGGTTAGCAACATTGGGGGAGTAATGGGAGACTGGACAATTGGGTGCTAAACTAAATTGGATCTTTGTTTTCATCCATCAGAGCTCTTATATTCTTTAGAAATCAATCTACTAAAGCTCACCCCTACATTTCATCTGAATGAAGTCCAGCTGATGAATTGACTGCAGCAAGGGATCGCTGTCCAAAGTTAGATCAAATTCAGCCGATACTTTAGGTTCCAGAGCTCCTTTGACCCATTGCTCCTGAGACACTTGAACACGTTTGATTAAAGCATCTGAAATCTGAAAAGAAAAGTGTGTAATCCTGAGTTGGGAATCATGCTGGCAAGTCATCAAAAGAGTAGGACAGCTTGAACTGATCCAGAGTTCAGCTTTGCAAGTCAATTTTACAAAGGAACTCCACCTTGTTATTTGTTATCGTGTTTGGCAAGTAATTCATTGCCTCTACTCATTCTCCAGGAAATTTGCAGAAAGTGGGGATTCATTTTCTCCCCAATGAGGGAAACACCACATTAGGAGGAAAACATGGGGGAGCCAACATTAATGCAGCAGTGCCTGCATTTGTGAATCCACTCTGGTTTTTATTACAGGTGTTGAGTCCTCTTGTGAAGTAGGAAGCTGAGCCAACCAGGATGAGGCCAGCTCACTGAATACTGTGGCTGGAGGTTATGCTGAAAAGCTTTGTCTGTAGAAAACATATGGCAGTCAGAAATAGAGTGAGGGCCAGTTAGGAGGAGGGGATGGAGGAAAGCTGAATACAGTTTTGGAAAACTGAGAATGTGGAGAAAATTTGAAGAAAAATTACTTTTTCTTGAAACTCAAGAGTTATGGCATACTTTGTAAGGAAGCAGTCTAAGGCTGTGTGTTTATTTTGTTTGCTATACAGTACATTTTCAGTGTTTACCTTATTGGGATGCCTTAATTTAATAATTAACAACAAAAACTACCACAATGAACCCAAATCAGCATATTTAGGTGTCCAGTAAAGTGGACAGAGAAGAAAATAGAAAGAGGGACCTTAAAGGTAGAAAGGCAAAGTGAGTGATAGGAGCCTAAGAACTGGAACTGTGTGCCCAACCTGGGGGGGGGGGGCACATAACATCCTTCCTCAAAATAGCTTCAACAAAACAGATTCACTTTCCTATTGGCTTAGATGCTAAGCAACTGGCATGCATAAATGGCCCAACTCCAGATTTGGAATAGGGTATCTCCCTGCTACCACTGAAATGAACAGAGGAGCCTGAAGAGCACATGGAGAAAACTAGTAGCACTTTTAAAATATGACAAGCCATAGAAGAATGTGGCCTGATATTCCACAAAATCAAAAGATAGTATACCTGTAAAAAACCAGATGGGTCATTTTCTTTGATAACTTCGAGACAATATTCCATTAGCCCGGTAGACTGACGCAGTTTCAAAGTACAGTGATTTATCTGGTCCCACACAACCTAAAGAAGGAAAAATCCAATATAGAGTGGATGATCCTTTCAGTGTCCAAGGCTATTATTTCAGAAGAAATAGCAGAAGAAAACATGTTTATAGAAGCGGTATTTTTTTTACCATCTCTAAAACAACATCCCAATTTCAGCACCAAACCCAGAAGGTGGCCATCATACCACCATGCCATCTTGATTTTGGAAGCTAAGTTGAGTCATGCCCTTATTGCTACTTTGAGGGTAGCTCTGGGAATACTTGGGATCTTCATGTGGATCAAGAAAATATAATTGACAAGGAATCTGTTCAGTACAAGGCAACTTCCTTCCAATGGTTTTCCCCCACAAGCTGACAGGAAGCTTCCATAAATTCCAGCCCTGTTCTATTCCTGGAAATTGTAATGGTTTCATCATAGATGAAAAGCAATGTTGTAAAGCAATGCTTTTGTGTTTTGGGTCTTCCTCTAGGAGCAAACCAAGAATGGGCAATTGGAAGTGCCTGAACAGACCCAGTAGCAGAGTTGGCAGATCAAAAGACAACCTGGCAAAATGGCACTATCTAGAAGAATCCTCCACCTTGTGTGGAGCAGAACAAACAACTCAGCATCTGTATGCTTGCCCACAATGCCCTCATGCACAGAGGAAAAATTGTTCAAAGCTACAGACAATGCAGTCGCTGTTGCCAGTTTTTGGTCTAAAACTATCTAGCAGCTTGTAATCCCTTTATTTTGTCAGTTTGAGATAAACTATTTTATGCAATGCCTTTGACACAAAATAAAAAAATCATAGATGAAATGGCAGTATGGGCGAAGGCATAAAATCAGCAGCCCAGCATGGTTTGGCAAATAACCAAAATGAGCTTGGGAGTACACCTCATGTATTTCCTATTCTGTTGGGGATCAACAAGGAGGGTGGAATAAGAATGGATTAGAGTGGACACGGGATGGGTTAGCTGGCCACTACAGACTTTCAGTTTTATGATTCTCTATAGATGGATGTTACAAGATAAAAATCTCACTCACCTTTAGCTTGTGTTCACGCTCTTTTGTAACTTTTGTGAGCAGTTTTGCCTTCTGACGTGTCAAAGCATCAACCAAAGCATCACACTGAGCCACTAGACAAGCTTCATAGTCCAAGCCATTTTCCTTGAGTGAGTAAAGAAATAACATTAAGTTATACAGAAGAAAGATTTGTTTACTCAAAACACAGCCAACATTTCATGATGTTGTTCTTTTCTAAAGGGCTTGGCAGATCCTAAATTTGTGTAATTCAGTACTAAGAATTGCTTGCGTTATAAGGTCTCCTGGGATTATGCTAGAAGACTGATAAATTCTGAATCATGCTTTCCTAACCTGGCACTATGCTGGACTACCTGGGATTTCCTGCATAATTTGTTACTTACATAATTTAAAAATAGGTGTTTAATCTTTCAAATATATACAAACTCTGAGAAGAAGCTGGGTCGCCTCTGGGCACAAGTAGGTGTTAAGAGCTATGCATGTCTGAGGAAAAGCTTGAAAGAGGTATGTTTTGGGTGACAGTTTCCAGGAATGTGCTCTGTTGTTGTTCCTGCTGCTGCTGTTACTTGGTCACAAAAACTATGACCACAACAAGAGTATGAAATAGTTATGCTCTATTAATGGATTTTCAAGATACAGCAACTTCAGGTGGCCAGTCTGTATTAACCAGAATGGATTAAGTTTCCATTTATGACTATTGTCTTGCACACAAAAAATCAGGTATAATTTATAAGATTAATCATTTTGCAGAGATGTCCATTCAAGCAAGAACTCTTCACTGATTTATAAATTCAACTAGCCCTCACAAGCTATAATTACCTGGAAATAGACCTTGAATAATGGTAATTATAAATTATAAAACCCTACTGGGTTTTATAATGGAGAAGTGATTTGAACACTAGTCTCTCAAAGTCCTAGTGAAACCAAGGTGCCACTTTGTCTTTGTGCTTAATCTAAAAATGTTATTTTATACATGTAAAAAATTCAAAAGAGCTAGAATTCTTGAATTATTACCTGTATCTGCTGTAAAATGTTTTTCAGCTGTACCAAAAATTCTTTTGCTTCCTTTGCTTTATCTGAAATGCCATTCAAAGCCTGAGACAGTTGTGCCTGCAAAAAAAAAAGCCAGTTAAATAACATATAAAACCGTATTTTCCCTTTATAATAGATGTCTAAAATACTTTCTAAAACAAAAACTCTTAACACTTGCTACAATTGAGATTTGATTGAGAGGAAGAAAACTGGCTGTTAATTGCTGAATGGTTAAACAGTTTACTGACATAAATACCAATTATGCAATGGTTCTACTCTTAACCAATGGGATTGAAATTAGGGCATTCTGGGGGTATGTCAGTGGTGTCCTGCTTAACCATGGCAACCCACTAGTTGAAGGAGATTCCATCACCCTTTCAGGCAGCATATTCCACTGCCAAACCGCTTGCCATCAGAAAGTATTTAGTGGGAATCTCTTTTCCTGCAATTTGAATCAATTGCAGAATCTTTTGAATGGGCTTTATTTTGGCTGTAGGTATGCTACTCACTTTAACTATTATCTGAGTCACATTCTGAACCTTCATTTTTTTAGAGGAAGTTTTCTATTCGAGAAGAAAAATGGATACAACTCTGACATTAAGAATTGCAATATTCAAAAACCAAACCGAACATTTCAGCTTTCCTAGGCATTCCATTTCAGACCTCCAAGTGGTTGTTTTAGAACTAAAGGACACTTTCAAAGGAAGACTGGTAAGAGAGACTGCTGTTTTGTAATACAGGAAGTCCCTGAGTTATAAACATCCAACTTACACACGACTCATAGTTAAGAAAGGGGATGAGACAAGGGGAAGTGAGAGAAATCTGCCTCTAGGAAGGGAAATCCACTCCTGAAAGAATTATCATGGGGAAAAGGAGTCTCTACTGAAGCTTTCTCACCAGTCCTTGTTTCCACAGTAAGCCACATTTTTCAAAATTAAATTATCACAGGGACAGAAAGTGAGCTGAAATCTTCTGAAAAGGAGCACAGACAGTAAAACAAACATTACAGGGGTGTTACCCCTTCCCTATTCCATCCAAAGCTTATATACATACATACACTTAAAAATGTACCTGTTCTGACTCACATACAAATTCAACTTAAGAACAAACCTACAGAACCTATCTAGTTCGTAACTTGGGAATTGTCTGTATATTTGTAAATGTCAATCAACTGGCGAAGTCATGAACCGGAAAAATTATTTCTTGGCATGCTACGTGTATTGATATACAGGTTTGTGGTATTACATCAGATAATACTTGCAGGGAGCGGTCAACCCTCCTGTTTAAGGAGCTCCATTGGCTGCCATTCATTTTCCGGTCCCAATTCAAGGTGCTAATAATTCAAATTTGAATTATTACATTTGGCCCGGCCATAGGTTTTTAAATGCTGTATGTTTGATATTGTTATTGTCTATTGTTTATTGTGTATTTTTCTGTTTTTGAGTTATTTCAACTGCTTTGTATTTATTATTGTTATTGCTTTTGTTTATTGATGTATTATGGGCTTGGCCTCATGTAAGCCACACCAAGTCCCTTAGGGAGATGGTAGTGGGGTACAAATAAAGTTTTATTGTTATTATTATAACATGGCATAAGGTTTCAGGGAAACATATCTTATTTCTTTCACATAGGCTATTCACCTGGCATCTTGCATAGCTCTTTGAGGACCTACAAAGACATAATTTGCCCTTTATGTACACATTGTTGCCATCCCAACCATATAACTGTGCTTGAATTGCTGTGAATTTTCCAGGCTGTGTGGCCATGTTCCAGAAGCATTCTCTTCTGATGTTTCACCTGCACCAGGAGGGAATGCTTCTGGAACATGGCCATACAGCCCAGAAAACTCACAGCAACCCAGAGTTCTGGCCATGAATGCTTTCAACAATGCATTGTACTTGAATACTTTTGGCTTTGGATCACTTCATCTAATTTAAACTGGATCTAAATCCACACAAGTTCATTCTGAAGTAAGTTAGTCTTAAAAGAGCTAGGAGTGTCCTCCCCTTCTCTTTTTCTTTTTTAAAATCTTTCCTTTTGATTTCTGCTCTTCAATATAAGTTTACTTTGCATTTGTTTTCATGTGAATCAAATGCCTGTGTGAATCAAATCACTACATGGTTCCCTGTGGCAAACTTGCAGATATGTTTTTTGCCATCAGTAGCATCCCATAGAATCTACTCAGATGCCTGTCCCAATGAGTTCAATAAGTCTTCTTTCCAGGTCAGTGCATATAGGATTTCAGTTTTATGTGTCCTAATTTTAGAGACAGTTTCCCTCAAAACAGTGAGGCCTTATTTCTGAACAAACATGTATTGAACTGCACTGTTCATTAGTCTAATTCTCAATAAAACTTCACAAAACTTTTGTTTTTCTCTTCAAGATTCTAACATATAGACATACCATATTATATTGTATTAAATTGGGTTTTTTTTTTCATTAGAGGAGCATTAATGCACAATAGGCACTTTACTTTCATTGGAATTAGGAGTGCAGGACCCATGTGAAAGTGGAAAATCCACCAATTAAAAATGCTATTTTCTTTAGCTGAGAGAACCTCTCTCTCTAGGAATCTCTAGATTCTCTGGTGCAAGTCTTTGATCAATTCCAGTGGAAGATGGCCATATCTTTGCACTGGAAGACATAGAGAGAACATTGTCAACAAATGTGCAAATAACTAAATCTGTAAAAATTAAACCTTCAGATGTGGAGGACTGATTGTAACTTTTAAGGTTTGGAGAGAAGCAAATGCTTGTAGCTGTACTTTGACAGACATTTATTTAGGCTCCAAAGCTATTTCAGGAGAAGGCATTTGACATGTATTTTAATTGGGGGGGGGGGGTCATGCTGGGCCAGGATGATTTGATTTAGGAGCGAGTGGGAGAAAGGGGCGATGCACCTGCTCCACCCAGCCCCATCCTCTGCTCTCAATCAGTCAATCTCAAGGCAATAAAAAAAGCGTTACCAAGGCAATTACGTTACAGGCATTTGCATATCGCATGTCGCTTTGCCTCTAAAAAGTTGAGTCAATGTTTAGGTAATCAATTTGTGATCTACATTTTTATTGAAGAATAAAATATTAATAAATTTGCATCTCATGAATAAGAAAGGGAGGGAATAAATATTCCCCAGGGGAGGAACAGTGTGTGTGTGTGTGAGAGAGAGAGAGAGGGGGGGGGGAGGGAGAGAGAGAGAGAGAGAGAGATTGAACAAAGTTATTTCACCAAAGAGGAAATCAATACGACTGGCCCTGATCTTAAAATTTGTTATTTTAGAATACTGTAAATTCAGCCTATAATCTGCTGTTCAAAATGTGATAATAGCCCATGACACACCAATAGCAGTATTCCATGTTTTAAGGTACCACTGCTAAGATGAAAGAGCAGTAGGCTTATTTAATTTTGCAGATGGAGTTCAGATTATAAGTGCCAAGAAGCAGTTAGTTATTTTTATGATTTTAATGACTTTTATTTTTCTGGAGATGAACTAAGCATATGGAATTGTTTTTTGTAACTATTTACAGCCAGCCCTTGCTAATTCTTCCATAATGTTAAAACCACAGTCACTTGTAATATCCATACAGGTGACTGTATGGATATTACAATTTTTTATGTTTAGGCTAGGGCAGGTATGGGAAAAGCAAGGCCCAGGGGCCGGATGTGGCCCCTTGGGCTCTTTTCTCAGGCCCTCCTCTCTCTCACCATCCTATCCTTCGTTCCTTCCTTCCTTCTCTCTTCCCATCCCTCCCTCTTTCTCCTTCCCTTCCACCCTTTCGTCCTTCCTTCTTCTCTTTCCTTCCTCCTTCTTTCCTCGCCTCTTTCCTCCATCTCTCCCTCTTTCTCCTTCCTTCCTTCCTTCTCTCTTTCCTTCCTTATCTCTTTCCTTTGTCCTTCCCTTCCTTCCTTTTCTCTTCCTTCCCTTCCCTTCCCCTTTCCCTTCCTTCCCTTCTTCCCTTCCCTTTCTTCCTTTCTCTTTCCTCCCTCCTTCCCTCTCCTCCTCTTTCTCCTCTCCACTCCTTCCTATTGGCTGTTTGATCAAGAAAAAATTTGTTTCTAAAATCGATTTGTAATTGGGGTGTTTTTTTGTTTCGATATTTAAAATATTTACAAAACTTTCCAAAAAAATGTTTTGTTATTTACGAAATTTCGTAAATATTTACAAAACATTTTGTAAGTGTGAATGTTGCAGTTGGTCACCTTGATTAGCATTGAATGGCTTTCATTTCTCCAACCCTGGACATTCCATAGATAAACTCCATTTGCCTAGTTTCCAACAGACCTCTGAGGATGCCTGCCATAGATGTGGGCAAAATGTCAGGAGAGAATGCTTCTGGAACATGGTCAACATACAGCCCTGAAAAGAAAACTCACAAGAGCCTGGATGCAGCCTTCAAGATGGTATTGGTCTCCCTGCGCTCCGGCTCCGGCTCCTGCGCCCTCCTCCTCCTCCCCCTTTTTTTTTTTTTTTCCCCTTTCTTCTTATTTCCCTTGTTTTTTTTTCCCTGGCTGATGCAGCCTTCAAGATGGTATTGGTCTCCCTGCGCTCCGGCTGGCTCCTGCGCCCTCCTCCTCCTCCTCCTCCCCAGCTGTGTTGCAGGAAGCGCGCCCCCTTCCAACCGGCCTCCGCGCGCCATCCAATCGGCTCCGGCTCCTGCGCCCTCCTCCTCCTCCTCCTCCTCCTGGCACTTCCTGCAACACAGCTGGGAGGAGGAGGAGGAGGAGGAGGGCGCAGGAGCCGGAGCCGATTGGATGGCGCGCGGAGGCCGGTTGTAAGGGTGAGCGCGCGCGCGCCATCCAATCGGCTCCGGCTCCTGCGCCCTCCTCCTCCTCCTCCTCCTCCTGGCACTTCCTGCAACACAGCTGGGAGGAGGAGGAGGAGGGGGCGCAGGAGGCGGCCGCGCGGGAGGGGATGAGGTGCCGCAGGCGCGGGCTCAGGCCAGTTGTCTCTTTAAGGCGCCTCTCTCTCCCAGCTGTGTTGCAGGAAGTGCCAGGAGGAGGAGGAGGAGGAGGGCGCAGGAGCCGGAGCCGATTGGATGGCGCGCGCGCGCTCACCCTTACAACCGGCCTCCGCGCGCCATC